TCCAGGAGCACAAAACCCCTGAAATGGGAAGAAAGTGGCATGCTCTTTGAGACTGTAGAGCACAGAGGTCGTTGTTACCAAAATGAAAAGAAGACGCAAGGCAGGGTTGCTAACCCCTTGGCAAGCCTGGGTCTTCAGTGCTAGTAGCTGTGGGCAACGGTCAACAAAGATAAGGTAAGGAAATCATATCCATAGGCTGGCATGTGTTTGTATCTATATGTGCTTTTGTGGGTGACACTTTTCAACCCAATTCCGACTCGCATTCTTCTGTCCTAATTTAAAGACTTGGATCAGAACATACATGTACCTAAATTGCTTGTTTAGAAAACACCATCACTGTAAGAACAAAAATAATATTTCCCAATAATGTCCCTCCTCATCTATGAGAAAGAGCACTTGATTCCTGGGAAGAGGGTTTTATCTTAGACCAGCAGAGGTTACTAAATTAATTTGGTTAAAAAGGAAGGCAGGCTGCCTTTAAGATGTTAGGAGATGGTTAGTTTTACTGTGGTGCCCCCTAGTGCCAGGGAAGAGTAGGTTAGTTTCTGTATTGCCAGGTTTCAGATTCCAAGCCAAGTAGGAAAATGTGAAGAATCATTAGTGTTCGTAACTGCCCCCTCTGGCATAAAATAGGAGAAATCAAGTTTTCCAACACGATTTACAAGATCCTGTGCCATTCACACCTGCCTAGATCTTCAGCTTCATCTCCTACTTCACTCTCTGTGAACACTCAAAGTCAGCCATGTTGAATGATTTGCTAGTGTGCCTCCCCTCCCCCATTGCTCCTGTCTGTGTAGGAAATTCCACTCTTCTCTCAAACATCAGTTGAATTATTTAGTCTCTTTCTTCAGCTCTATTGACTCCCCTCACACATACTCAGACATCTTGGACAAGCCTTCATCCTCCGCTCCTCTCCTCTTGCCCCTTGAGCAAGTTTCCACATGTCTGTTGCCTCTTTGCCTCACCTTAAATCTGACCATTAATCCAAAGAATTTAAAACAGAAACAAAGCATTCTCCATGCAGGCACCCTATACTTCCAATAGTATCCTATATAAAAAGGCACTCAGAATGAAAGTAACGATGCCCTAGCTGACAAAAAGAAGTCTAGTATAGGAGTCAAATTTGCCTAGTTAATTAAGTACATAGGTGATCATGAGCAATTTACCTACCTTCTTTTGGCCTCTATTTTTTATTTTTATAAAAGACTGGCTAATACCTCCTCAAAACCTCAAAATCTTTGGGCTATTTCATTAATACTCACTATCAGAGCCTCAAATTCTTTATGATGAATTAATTTAACACTTCAGATGTTCTTTTTTTAATTCTCAATGAGTTGCTCAAAAAAAGCAAATTTTACTTGCATTTGAAATGATTTTATATATGTGGTTGAATAATTTCTAAGGAAAAGCCATGTTTGATTACATGTAGTCATTTAAAATAAGCTAATTCTAGACACAGAATTAAGGCAAATTCCTCTTTCCAGTATTTAACAATACAAAAATAAATTGTTGAAGTTATGATATGAAACATCACCAAGAAACTAAATTCTAATTTTGGTTCTTCTTGACACAAACCACTTCTGCTTTTCCCAGCGGAAAAAAAAAAAAGCAAGAAGAAGGTGGAATTGGTTAAGGAAAAAGTCCTTAACTCTGAAAAAAAAAAGGTCACGATAAAGGTGACACAGTGCTTGGAAGACTTCAACAGCCCCAGAACACACAAATATAATTTACAAAAGTGTCTCACAGGCTGGGGAGATAGTTCAGATGATATGACATTTGCCTAGAAAATATGAGAAACTAAATTCAATCCCCAGAACTCACATAAAAATGCCAGGCATAATAGTGTGTGCTTGTAATCCTAGTTCTGCAAAGGTAGAGACAGGAAGATCTTTGGGTTCCACTCACCAGACAGTCTAGCCTAACTGGTGCTCTCCAGACCAATGAGAGATGTTGTTAATGAGAGGAGGAGGCACTTTTGAAGATGACATTCGAGTTCGTTCTCTGGCCTCCACGTGCAACTGCCGATACACATACAGTCTTATACACCAAAGCAAGCACGCACTCATAAACCCATACATATGCATACATTTGCACATACACCCCCACAAAAACTACAATAAAAATAATAGAGATAAAAGGCTTCTCACCTCCTAGACCAGTTTTCCTTCTGCTATTGCTTCCTAGTTAAAGTTACAGATAAGACCAAAGCCTGGCACTTTACAGGGTACCTCATGGCAATGCCCAGTGTGTAGGGTCAGCAGCCGCAGCCTTTGGTTTTCTAATTCAAGCCACTGATATTCTAGAGTCTTCGTGTCCTTCCTCATTCTAAATGGGGCATTTTATGAACTCAGAATAGGTTATTTACATAAATCAGAAAGAAAGTGTACGCAGGAAAATAGGATTTCTTCCAGACTAGTCTTAAAAGCCAAGAAAGCTGTACATTTGGGCACAGAAATCTGCTAACACACTTTTTCTGTTCCTTCAGCACTCGGCTTATTCTTTGAAATGCCATGTTCATTATCTGCTAAGCTGAAAAGGACCTCAGTGTCCATCTCATTCAGTCACCTGGGCTTACCAAAGAGAAAACCAGGACCCAAAGGAGAAAGTGAACTAATTGCACGAGATGCAGGTGAAGACTCTCCTTCCTTCCTTTCTTTCTTTCTTTCTTTCTTTCTTTCTTTCTTTCTTTCTTTCTT